CCCCCCCATCCCCAAGACCAGGCCCTCAGCTCCCAGGAGCCTGCCAGGGGCTGGAAAAGGCAGGCGCCTTCCTGGTCCAGGGCGGAGATCAAGGACCATGGATTCAGGTTTGGGGGGATGCCCCCAACATCCATGATCTCCGCTTCAGACTGAGGAATGTGGCCATCTATGGCAGGTTAGATGCCAGCATGGCAAGCAAAGGCTACATCCGTACCCAGGAGCAGGTGCGGATGAAAATAAAGGGCTTTGGCAGGCATATGCCAGGGCCACAGGGGGCAGTTCCCAACCAGGGGCAGACCCACACACCTGCCCCTATTTTGACACTATGGACCACAACCTGGGGGGGCAGGACGGTCCATGCCCCCAAGGTGGTCATCAACCCTGGGGCAGAGGGCCCTGACCAGGACATCGAGGATGAGGAAGAGGAGAGCCAGGACCAGAGGAGGCCATCATCACCACTCAGATGAGCTAGGACCCCCAAGCTGCCCCAGCGGACCTGTCACTGGTGCCATCTCAGGCCAGGGAGACAACAACATGTGAGTGCCATCACTGTCCCCTTATGTGGGGGAGGGAGGGAACGGACTGCATGTGTGGGTCTTGCTGTCCACGGATCATGCAGCAACCTGTGCATGTATGAGCATGTGTCATGCCACCCCTGAGCATGTGGCCCAAGCTGGCTGCCACAAAGGGGTCTTACCTTGCTAGCCACACACGTGTGTGAGGAGGCATGACATTCTCCTGACTCTGGGGTGGGACACAGCAGGACACTCTCCCTCCACAAGGCCACTCTACACAGAGGCAGGGGACATCTCTCCCCTCTTCTCCCCCCTCCCACACACTATATACACCACAGGGGTACGGGTGTGGTCTCGAGGCAGGTCCCACTCCTGGGGATAGCAGGACATTCCGAACATGGCCTGTGTGCAAGCACAGCGGCTCTGATGATGCAGGGAATGGTCATCCTCACTTTGCAGAGAGGGGCTGGGCTTCACTCACTGTCCCCCCAGGGATGACTGACCACTTCTCTCGTTTATCCACAGCTGCACCAGCTGCATGTGCAGGGCGCACTACCCCCCCTGGGACATGCTCCTGCATCCAAGAGCTCCGCAGGCTCACCTGTGCAGTGGAGGGGTACCAACAGCAGCACCTGGGGGCACTGCGATCCCTGCACCACACCCTCCAGCACTGGGTGCAAGAAGACCTGCAGCTCTGGCGGGAGCAGCTTGCCCAAGGCCAAGCCATCTGCCAACAACTGCAGACCCTGGTGCAGAGCGTGCTGCCTCCTGCCACTCCAGTGCCTGCTGCCTCCCCAGCTACTGCGCCTCCCCAGCTACTGCTCCTCCTCTCGCTCCTTCTCCCCCTCCATCCCCTCCTCACCTTCCACCCCTCCCGGGACACCAAGGTCCCTGCACCCACGGTGCTGCGAGACAGTTGGTCCGGCGAGACCCCCAACCCTGAGCCTCCCCTCCCCTTTTTCCCCCTTCCAGCTCACTCCTCCCAGGTCTCCCACTCCCCTCT